TTTTCTAAGTTACTTGATTCCTGTCCAAGACTTCAACTGTGGGAATTATTGCTGCATTATTAAGAGATTAAAAACTGTTCTAAATTTTTCATCAGCCAAGAAAAGAAAGCCTTAACTTCACTCATCAACCTTTTACCTCTGGCCTTCTATTTAAAACTGTAATGACAACCATTTCTGCATTGGATTTCCCCCTTGTCAACATTTCTTATTGTTTCCTTGCATACATTCCTAGGATTTTCTTAATGTTCTAGATTGATGAAAATGTTAAACTATTCCAAATCCTGAAATCATTGCATCCATTCATACAAAGTACATCTAGAAATTGAATTACACAAGTAAACTTCTCTCTAAAGTAACATGAAGCCATACATATAAATATAAACATACAGTACTTCATCTATGGAAACGCTTCTCTTGATTAAACTTAGAGTTGAAGCATCGGTTCCCATTTTTAAATTATAACCACGGCTACTAGGATGAACAGCAGATGAACTGTACCTGTGTGCTGAGACACAAACATTACCCATAATCATTTCTAATCTTTTTCTTCTTTCAGTCACTTTATTACTAGGTAGTTTACAAGAAACAACTTGGTGCTTACCTTTCATGTCTTGTCCCAACCATTTGCAGCTCGTGGGATGAATTATGCATTCGGCATTATCTTAACATATTGTTATTTCTTTTTTCAGCAACATTTTTTGAGTACCCTTCACATTAGGAATCTAACTCTTTCCATTGATGATGGAACAATGGTTTTCAAAGATTAAACTTAAATGATGCTCATTGTATGTTTCTTCTAATAGAAGACTCATTATCTCAGCTACTTTTGTCACTTTTACTTCAACAAATGGGAGAGATAAAGAGGGAGACATTCAAGCAGACTTAAACTATATTATCCAAAAGGTGCAGTAATAATATATCGGCAACTGGCATATATAATAAGAGAGAGTAGCTTAATGTTTTAATTGAGTGAATTGGGAAGCTTGCAAAGCCTGTTTCTATTTAAATCTCCAAGGACTGCTAACAATAATTGGCCTATTGGGCGTTATGAAAGATAACTGAATTTTTAATTGGAGGTCATATAGATTATGGAAACTTCCAAATAAAGTTTTCTGACAATTTGTTTTAAGAAAAGGAATTCAGAAAGAAGGTGCTTCAGGCATTAACCGGCCTTGCATAATCAGCCTTTCATGATTGTATGATTGTCACAGAACCCTTTTGGGCACATGCCCATCAAAACAAGAAACTTATAACCAGAGCAAACAGAGAAAAATTTTGTGCAGCAATATAAGTGATAGAAGACATAGCCAACTTGAATGGAAGATTAACAACAAATCAAGGTTGAAAACAATTTATAAATCCAATGTTGAAGAAATACATAAGAAAATATATAGTTCTCTTTGGCTTGAAGTAGGTTAAGTAGATTCATAGCCCTCGAACAAACAAAGAATGAGGTTAATTCCTTTTCCTGGACCAAGCTGTGCCCGTGATCAATTGCTGCTTCTGAAGCATATTGACTTATTCTTTTAACCTTTCTTTCTTTTTTGTACAATACAAATTTCTTTTCTTGGTATTTAAATTGATTCTAATAGGTGAGGAATATATATACCCCAATTACCAACTAAGATAACCCTGTAATCCATATTTTTTCCAGATTCGTTTGTATTCGATGGTATATACTCTAATGTTGCAAGCAATGTTCATAAATATAATGAGCCTTAACTGTTGCCAACTACTCTGAGTGACAGCGTCACCAAAGTGAATATGCCATTATCGTTGCAAAGCACAAGGTTTTCCTACCAATATTTACAGGTATAGAATAGTAGCAGCAACAAATAATCAATGAAACAAGGACAAGGTGGCATTATAAATGTAACAACCAAACTGTGTCAGACTGCATTAATTTATCTTTCTCAATTATGATGGATAAACTCTACCTATGATTGCGACAAACAGTGGCTGCCCTTGTTTCAGGCACTCATTGCAGCAATTTCTCTCAAGGACCCCATAGCTAACAGAGCACCTTTTTTCATTTCATTGGTGGCGATGACAGGATTTGGAGGCGACAAATGTAGCTTTCTGCGGCAGTTACTCACCTCATAAAAGGAAAAGATAGGGTGATGCAAAGTGATAAAGCCTGATAATGTAATGAATGATGAAAAAGACTGAACCATGAAGTGGAACAAATAAAAAACTTCAGCTACAACCTGACAGTTAGTTAAAATTTTCCGTGCTAAGTTCCCCACAGTATTGTTTTAACAATGCATGGATGGATTTCACAAGCAATTTTATTGTTTTTCCTTCAGCCGTGCTTGTTGCATTATACACAAATATTAGATTGAACAATCCCTACAGGCATTTTTGTTTAGCAGCCTTAGAATTCCGGGGCATTCCCCGCATTGTTCCAAAGAGCATTTGCCCCTATCTGTCTCCACTGTTTTCATTTTCTCACATGATGGGGGGTTCTATCAATAATTAGCCTTGTAAAAAGGTTACTACGCTTTCTTCAGAGTAAATTTGGGGCTAACTTCAGCCTTGAATCTGCTCCTCATTTCCAAGTAATTTTTTTTTTTTAAATTCTAAATCTAATTCTAAGCCGGATACTTGTATATGCAGAATACAATAATTGTTTGGATACTTTAAATGGTTAGTTGGCAAGTCTTCTCAACCTGCTGTCTCCTGCTTTGGCTTTTTGGAACTGTTGTTTGATGTATCAATTTTTAACATTGACACATCGGGATCCTTTTCCTTATACAGCCATAACTTGGGGAGCTCTTAGGCCCCATTTTCTGCAACATGGGGTCACCATCTTCTTCATAATATTCCGCAGCATCTACCATCTACTATACTCTTTCAATAATGAGTATCCCATTTGTCCATTTTCAAGCTTGTGAGACTGCCTTCCTCATGTAACCAGCCCTTTCCTATAAATTTTGAAATTTTTTTTTAAAAAATACTTTTTTTAAAAAATAAAAATTTTAAAAAAAGAGTTTTAGGAAAAGCTCCTAAGAGGAGCTTTTTTTTTTTTTTAAATACAAAAAAAATTTTATTTTTATTTCAAAAATATCATCATCTGTTAAAAATAATTACAATATAACTCTCTAAAAAAAAAATACTCTTTACCATAATTTTAACCAAAATTATAACTTATAAAAAAGAACTTATAAAAAAAATTTTATCAAACAACTTGAAGTTAATTCTAAAAGTTATTATTTTTTATAAAAATTCATAATAGTTTTTAAATTAGAAAAAAGTTAGGCCAAATATGCTCTCAATGCAAGAACAATTCTAAAGTCAGAAATTAATCTTTATAGCTGAATATTATTCAAACATTTGTTAATTCCCAATCAAAAAACATTAACCAGTAAGGTTCTGGCTGATCATAAAAGGGAAGCCACTGACGGTTATCTGCAATATCTGGCCATGGATCTTCTATTCCCCTACACCCCCCAAAGGAAAAACAGAGCTATTGTTTCTCCAAAACTTAAGATTTGTCTATGTACCTGCTACTCCATTACACCGACTCCCTTGGCCTTATCCACATATAAATTATTATTGTGACCTTAAGGCTAAATTTATTCATAAAGTTATGCAAATGTAAATATAATTGCATAATCTGTTAGCTTGCTCTGGAAACGTTTCATGGGTTTGAGGCCAGAATGGATTTGCAAGTTTGAGTTGGGCATTTTCTGGCCAGTGTTTGCTGCAAATTCAAGTGTGGCTCCAGAAATGAGCCTAGCCCTACGTATATCGATGGGTCTGTTCAAGTGACAGTAAGATGGGCCGTGGTTGGATGAACATCCAAAATAGTCTTTGCCTTTTGTTTTGTGAGAAAATTCAAGTGAAAAGATGGGGTTTTGAATCTTGCAGTTGCAAATGACAATCACTTGGTCAATCCTTGGCATTTTTTCTTTACTTTTCTTTTCTTTTTTTTTGGTAAAAGTTTCAAATTGTTCTTTGCTTCTCGTTACTAATGCAATCCATCTCAGCGTATAAAAACAAAAAACCTATTCCAAATATTTTGGTTGGATAAAATCAATAACATTTCTTTTTTAATTGTGGAGTGTTTTAGGTTAATTACGCAATACTAAAATTTATTAGAAACCTCTGGCAAAAAGAAGCCATCATGATCCAACGGCCACAATCCCATCGCACAAACTCGAATACTCAAAACCCTGCTCTCACCCTACGCACCGCCCGATAATCCCCGTCTCGAAACCAGGCTTCCCCTCTTAAAGGGAAAAAGAAGACAAGGAAAACAGATCCTTCGAGGGCGAAAGGAAGAAGAAAAACAGAGGGAAAATAAAAGAGAAAAATGGCGGAGCACTTGGCGTCGATATTTGGTACGGAAAAAGATAGGGTGAACTGCCCGTTCTATTTCAAGATAGGCGCGTGTCGCCACGGAGACCGGTGCTCGCGTCTCCACACGAAGCCCAGCATTAGCCCGACTCTTCTTCTCTCCAATATGTACCAACGGCCCGACATGATTACCCCCGGCGTCGACGCCCAGGGTAACCCCATCGACCCCCGCAAGATCCAGGAGCATTTCGAGGTAAATTCCCAAAAATTTACGATCTAAAGGTTTTAAGTACTAGTATTTATTACTATGATTAAGTGATGTGTTAGGGTTTTAAGATTTAATCAATTTTAATGACTAATTTATAGTTGGCTCTGTTTGGA